ATTGCACATTTTGACAAATTTAAAAGTCCTCACTTCACATCATGTAAGGAAAACATATTCTTAGTATACATCTGTTTTAAATCCTCACCCACAAGTAGGGGTGAGCATTATGGGACGGGTACCCGTATCATTAGTACTAACGGTTCGGGTACCCAATAACCAATATCACTAAAAGTGATATCCATAACCCGAACCGATAAGTTCGGGTACCCGGACTTCGGGTACCCGGATTTTCGGAACGGTTATCGGATACCCAATAAAGCATCCAATAGTGATAATTAAACTTAAAAAATTAGTTATTATGATATTTTTTAACACTAATTAACAACAATACCACATGATCTTGACCAAATTATTAATAACATTACTAATTATTGATATTATATAGTGATTATGAAGTAACGTAAGAGTTTAAATATTGAAAAGATAGATTTAAGTAAGAAAAAAACAAAATAATTGCTTATCGGAACGGAACGGGTAACCATTAATTTTAAAATGATACCCAAAAACCATACTCGATAACAAATTATCGGAACGGGTACCCGAACCGTTATGGTTATCGGGGTACCCTAATTTTCAAAACGGTAACAGAACGGGTTTTCGAGTTTTTGGTTTTTCGGGTAGTTTTGCTCAGCCCTATCCACAAGTACCGCAGTGGGGAGGTTTCAACCTTGTGATGATCTCAAAGTTACAAAGTGAATCATCTACCAACTACATACACTAAGCTTTGCTTAAACTTAGTATTTAGCTTGGTATACAACTATATATGGACTTATGGAGTATTTGTCTGTCTATTGTAACTTATGCTTTCTGTACAAGTTTATTGAAGATCATATTGGGCCGTCATTTTAGTTTGTTCAGGTGTCTGGTCAAAATGGGCCATTTGATCCACCTGTTTACCATACCGAAGTATGAGGACCAATGCACTTGACCTTGGCAATTTGGGTCGGCAAATTGGACTTATAAATTCAGATTAATGCTTCCATATAAGGAATTAATGAGTTACTTTTAGTCAATATATAAATTTGATTAATAAATACTTTCTATGTAATTAATACTTATAACACACTCTTTTAACACGTTATTTAAGAAGGTGATTAGACTACGTAAACGGGTGAATTAAGTTGTAAAATTTAAAACGCTGCAACTTACAACTTTCTTCTTATTAGTGGTAAAATTTTGTTAATTTGTTTGTCCGTATTTCAAGTATATCCCCTAAATATGCGTAGAAATAGTGTGTTGCAAGTAAATAAAAACTGAGGAAGCGTGTATAAGAACGCACGACGTATTACCTATGTTATTGCAAATCGTAAATCCTCATCTCTTAATAAAGTGTAAAAATGCTTTTATAATTCAAAACTATCAAACCTCAGTAATTACTAATAATTTGCTAACACGTTTTTCTAAAGAAAAAAATGTATTAAAACCAAAAGTTGGATTAGCGGTGATGATGATAGATGAAGTTAAATAGAGTAGTTTTCATTGGCAATCAACACTAGTCAAGTTAGATAGTTTACACCGTAACTTTGGTATCAAATTATGAAATGATAGGCCAAGAAGTTTGACAAGCTAAGCCAACTTTTAGTAGAAGCATTAATACCACAAATTTAGCATCGTTTTATAGCAACACTCAATTATTCCTCTTATTGTAAATATGCAAATTTTTATCGAAAACTAGTAATTTTTCTACGTGGAGGTGTTGTGGATTCCATGATGAAAGAAGACATGCACATACAATTCTCTATTTTATGTTAATTGCAGTTGTATATATATATTTTCCTTATTTAGAAGTTTTATTTTATATGTTACTTATCCATACTTTATTATCCATTTTCACCGTATATATATTATTTTATCTATTTTCTGTGTAATTTACATGATAATCTTAATTTGGACGTTTTTTTTGCCCATATACCATACCGAACTACTAACTATTATATAATGGATGAACTATATATGTGTCATCAGTCATGACAACCACGTGATTTGTTGGAAACAATATAAGCTTTAGGTCAAATCATACATGCATAATTTTTTAGTTACATGTGGAACTTCAATTCAATTATTATTACTACATATATGTAGTGAGATTATTGTAACACAATGTTTTCCATTTGCCAGTAATTTCCTTAGGTATTGCCTTGTTTGGGACCCAATGAATACCTAACAGTTCAACAGAAAAACTTATATGCCAGTAATCTTGGCCTACATATGCTACTTATCGTCTTATTTTATGTAGACATAGAAAGAGGCATATTATGGATCTTTTTTATCATACAATTTTCCATTGTAATCACAAATTCTATCTTACATTCGGAGGTAATATAATGAAGACGCATGTGCAACTTTGACATACAATACACCGACAGGGCGACGGAAGGTTTGTATCTCATCGCTTGATATATGTATGGGTGTTTCATGGCCTTGATGAAAATTATGGAGTAAATGTTAACCAAATATGTATTTCCTCCGTTCTTTTTTACTTGACCCGCTTTGACTTTTACACTATTAACTACTCCTCTTTTGACCGTCTTTTGTGAATAATATGTAAGGGAAAATATATTCATGTGGGATCTTTTTGAATTCGTCTCAATAAGTATTATTATAATATACACCTTTTATAATTTTTACTTAAAGAAAATTAAGGTTATTGATCGCTAAAGTTTTGCATTGACAAGCGTAATAAAAGAAACAGGTCAAGTAAAAAAGTTAGATGAAGTAAATGTATACTTTGTATATCACACCCGAAGTTATAATAGATGCGCCTTATCAATGATTATATAACTATTTAGTATGAATTATGATGCCTTTGTAATTAATATACTTAGGAGGTGTTCTGACAATAGTTTTTGCGTACTCTCTCCGTCCCTAAATTACATTCCTAATTCTCTCTATTATGTGAGGAATAAATGGTAGAAGTATGAATGTAATTTAGAAACAAAGGAGTAGTTTTTAGTAGTTTGACCAAGTTAAACCACTATTTAACAAAAAATATGAGTGTTTGGTAATGTAGTGATTGGGGTAGCTATTAGTGGTGGAAGTAGCTTTTATAAAAAGTTTAAAATATATAGTAGCTTTTGAAATTAAAGGTAGTTGAAAATTTAATCTATAGTTTTAGGGAAAAATATTGATTCTTATATGTAATAGCTAGTCAACCGCTATTTTACCGAACACCCATACCTAAACGTAGACAGCTAACAGCTACCTACATAGCTAACAACTACCACCACATCTAACAGCTACGACCTTCACATCAATTACTAGTTGGATATGATCCACTCATGAAGCTTGTTATGGATGGAATTCTAAGTATGCATGATTGTATTCTATACACCAATACGTATGGAGTAACAAGCTAAGTCTAGTAATCGTGTGCTTTCTTAATGGTATAAGTCGTGGTTGTGAGCAATTTTAAATTCCGTGGAAGAATTAGTTTGAACTGTAAATTAAGTAAATTACAAATAAATCGTGAATTAAAATGTTTTCCTCATTTGATTTGTGTTATTAGGATGCAAAAGGTTTCATTTATTCCTTTCTTAAAACTCACATTCACTTTACCATTATCTTTTGCAAATTTAAACATTATTATGTAATAAAATGTTGGATTTATCTGTATTTAAATTATTTGAAAAAAATATATATTAAATGGTTAATGATATATGTAGCCCTGACCTTAGAGTTATGTATAAGCATTCAATATACTTTTTAAAATGGAATTAAGGGCCTGTTCATATTTACTGAACTGATTGGAGCTGAACTGAACTGAACTGAACTGAACTAAGCTGAACTGAACTGAACTAAGCTGAAATGAATATTTTATGAGAGAGGGAAATTTAGAGCTGAACTGAACTGAACTGAACTGAACTGATTGGAGCTGAACTGAACTGAACTGGTTAGAGCTGAACTGAACTGAACTGAAAATAAGTAAATATGAACAAGCCCTAAGTTGGAAATTCATCACAAAATCACGCGCATTATTTCCTTTTTTAGTTTTTAGGGATATGTTTATCACAATTACATAGATTTGTGGTTAAATTTGTACATTGGTTAAATCGGATTGTTGCAAGAATTTAGAAACATATGGCACTTTTTTCCTTACGATTATTACTACGTAGTATAATGTAATTTTTGTTTGGTTACAAGATCTTGAGCATTTCTATCCATGTGTAAACCCCCTAAAAAGGAAGTTAGATTAGATGCCTACTCTTTTATTAAAACACAATCATGTTTAATAAAATTTCTTATATAGGAAATACGTAGTAGATATCATCACTTAGGAAATTAAACTTGGTGTTAATTAAATTATAAAATTAGGAAAAATTGACATCCTAAAGTGAAATTAACTTGTTCTTGTCATGCATACGTGTAACCTTAACAACAGGACAACCGACTTTGAAAGAAGCCCATCGTCCTAGCTTGTTTAAATACGTTTCGGGTAATTGGGCCCCCGATAGCTACTTGTGGGCTGGGCCCATGCTACGTGGAAATGAATTTGCAATCTGCTATTTTGAGTAATATCAAAATTCTAACTGTATTTCCAACCGGCCTTGAGTACTTTCTTTCTATTACGTATTTTCATTTTAATTTTAATTTTAAACAAGGTAGTTAAGTATTCTTCTGGATTCTTCGAGTACAAAAACACAAATGATAGCGAAAGGGCTGGGTTTGATTGTACAAGAAGATAGGAAAGAATCTATAAAAGTTGTTTTTGAATGAACATCTAAAATAGAAAAGGGGAATCAAACATATTTATCGAAAGCCCATCTTGTATGTTCTGTGTCCACTTATAAAATAACAAAGTAATTTCTATAATATTGAACAAATAACTCTTATGAGGCTATAATACTGACTGAATAACTCTTATAAAACTGACCGAGTAACTATATAATATTGACGAATTAACCCTCATAATATTAAGAAATAACCTCTAAAATGGATGTCCACACGATGACTTTTTTTTTTTTACAAAAGAACTTAAAAACAAACAAAAAACAAACAACCTAAAAACGGAAACAAAGTAAATTACGCCGACGCGTCATCCCTGCTAAACAGTGAGCTTGAGCAACCGTAGACCTTGGAACCTTCTGAACATGACACACAACCAAAGCCCCAATAAGTTCCAGAAGCTCCTGTTGAATCCAACGCACAAAAATATCCTTGGGAACCTGAGAACGAAGCAAATCCACCACCAAAGAACAGTCGGTAAGAATCTGTAAAGAAGAATACCCACGCTGCCTAGCATGGCGTAAAGAAAAGAGACAAGCCATCAGTTCCGATTGGAACACAGAATTAGAGCTACAAGCCTGTGCCCCACCCCCAAGATGACCATCAGAAACCAGATCCAAAAATACCCATCCAGTACCCGCATTATGACTATCAGAACTCCAGGCCCCATCAAACGTAAGACTGACAGTACAAGCATCCGAAGCATTCCCTCGAAGAACTGCAGAAGACATAGTACCAGAAAATCCAGGAGGAAACTCAAGAGTAATATCATATCTGAACGACCTAGCCTCGGAACACCTATCCACCCAACTAGAAGCTAGCTCTAAAATCGATTCAGGAGAATAAACCGTAGATCGAAATCTCAAGGAGTTTCGAGTAAGCCAGAGGGCCCATAACAAACTAAAAAAATGATCTAGCATCAACCAGTCCTTATCATGAATAAACTTAGAAAGAACCTCGGGAAACCACTCTTCAAAGGACTGATCTTGGGATATATTCAAGGTCGATCCACAAGGTTGGCCCTCCCATAAACTCCAAGTAAAAGGACAATCTCGGAAAAGATGAGAAAGAGTCTCCACCTCCTGATGACAGAATCCACATTTGGATTCCACAGGCAAACCCTTCCGAGCAAGTAACAAAGCAGAAGGCAACGCATTATGGATAATCTTCCAAGCAAACATTTTCCACTTCGGAAGTAAAGGCGAAGCCCAGAAATGTCTCCACCAACTTGAGTCAAGAACCATAGGTGACCGCTGATCACCACCAGCTTACGTATAAGAATTTGTGATATATTGAAAAGCTAATAAAACTACAGGTTGAGTTGCCAATTATAGCATCGATTAGATCTAGGAAAAATTGGCTGCAATAACACTGACTATTATAAAGGTGCGTGCAACAGCACAATCTTTTAAAGATGCGGTCCACAACACAAACTATGTAGTTAGGTGCACATATTAGCATAAATGATACAAATGAACTAAGGTTCTATGGAAAAAAGTGGAATCTTCATTATTTTATAAATTTTTAAATATTTTTTAAACTTACATGATTTTCCATCATGCATGCCTTCTATTTATTTTCCATTCAAGCATCTCTTATTCTCCATCAATTAAGCGGATTACTTCAAAAAAATTTGTGCTATTAATTATTTTCCTTCGTTCGCTTCTTCAATTATTATATTTTTCTAATATCGATCTCACATGATTGGATTAGTTTCATTTCCTTTTCCACTTAGTCATATACATTGATAAATAAATAAATATTATTTGAAAACCATTATTCTACCAGAGTTTAGGATACATAAGTATCTTTCTAATACCAAGCCTCACAAAATAATTCAAAATACTTAATAAAACAACAATTTAGAATTGGGTATTAGGATATGCCAAATTGATTTTCTGATTTTTGATGTACAACACTTTAATTGTGGAGGTTGAGAGAGAATAATTTAAAGGGAAAAAATTAGTTATAATGGAAGAGGAAACTAGTCAATCACATGAGTTGTAAAAATAAGTAATTGGAGAAACAAACGATAGAAAATAGCGAAAACTTTTTAAATAATTTAATTTAATAGAGGAAATTGAATGGTGTTTAAAAAAAACAATTAATGAAAGAGAAGATAATTAGTTATGTGAGATGGAAAATTAAGTAGAATGGAATTAAACAAAAATATATATATAAATATAAAAGCATTAAAAATATTTAAGATTCCACTTTATGAAGAAATCTAAATTATGCCAATGTCATTTATGTTGTTATGTGCACCCAAGTGCATAGTTTGTGATGTTGAGTGCACTCTTAAAAGGTTGAGCTGTTACACGCACCTTCGTCATATTTGGTGGGCCAATTGACCATATTGGTATAAAAGTTAACACCCTTATGACAGATTGGTATAAAAGTTATTGTCGGCGACATATTGGTATAAAAATTAACATGTGGCGACATATTGGTATATAAGTCAACAAATTGCGACATTTACCCCTATTTTCTCGTCGGAGGATATGTGTATGATACACGCGCTTAATTTTAGTGTTAATAACTTTTATTTGACATTTTGTTTTTTGTACTTTTCTCTTTACTTTTTATATTAATTTTAAAAAAATATGAAGTAAAAATCCAAGAAAAAAAAAAAAAAAAAGAAGTAGAAAGCCCAAAAGTGATGAGAAAGAAGCTAGGGGAAAATGAATAGGAAAGCTTGAGCAAAGGGATATAAGCTTGAATGTATTGAGGGCATTGGTCATTGAAGCATCACAAGGGTAGATTCTTCTTCTTCTTTTTTTTTTTAAAAAAAAAAAAAAACTCATATATATATATATATATATATATATATATATATATATATATATATATATATATATATATATATATATTCTTATTATATTGTTGATTTACAAAATTGAGGGTATAATTAAACAAATGAAGTAATAATGAAAGTTAGCGTCTACTAGTAATTGATTTTGAAATTAAATAACTAATATTGAGATTTTGTTTATTGTTTATTAGTTCTTTGGGGTTATATCGTTTGATTGATTTATCAAAGTTATTGTATTGGAAGGGAAGAGGGAAAAATTATTATTTGGTGCTGAATAAGTATATTATGATAATAAATAAGATTGCAAAAGTAATTAAAACAAATTTTTGAAGTATACAACACGCTCTTTCATCCGAAGAAAAAATAGGGGTAAATGTCACAATTTGTTAATTTATATACCAATATGTCGCCACATGTTAATTTTTATACCAATATGTCGCCGGCAATAACTTATATACCAATATGTCATAAGGGTGTTAACTTATATACCAATATGGGCCCATATTTGGTGTTGTTGCGGCCAATTTTTCCTTAGATCTATTACTATATGAAAATATAATTACTCCGTGTCTGAATTATCACTCTTTATTCTTCATCTAAATTTCTTTTTAAGGAGATCATAGTTAATTTATTGACGGGATTATATGATGAGAAAAAAGTGATACAAAAGTAGGTATGTAATTGCCTAAATTGTGCTAGATAAAAAAAGAAGGTATAAAAATACATGGGAAAGAGAGATGAGTTGATGGTTTAATTATAGGAAAAGTTGCAAATTGCAGCCATTAAAAGTTCGTATTTTGTAAATTGCAGTTATTTAAAAAAAATTGTAAATTGCAACCCAATAGTTCGTATAAATTGTAAATTGCAGCCCGATTCAACTTTTTCATTGGTTTACATGTCGAAAAATCTTCGATTAAGGTTTTAGGGGTCATTTTAGTCCTTAGGATTCCGAATTGAGCTCGGAATTAGCAAAAAAAAAACGTTATTGTCTCATTTTTACAATTTCTCACAAATCGATACATTTTTGTTACGCAAAACGAGGCATTTGCGTTATTTTTTTTCTAATTCCGAGCTCAATTCGGTCCCATAAGAACTAAAATGACTCCTAAAACCTTAATCGAATATTTTTCGACTTGTAAAGCGATGAAAAAGTTGGATCGAGCTGCAATTTACAATTTATACGAACTTTTAGGCTGCAATTTACAAATTTTTTTAAATGACTGCAATTTGCAAAATACGAACTTTAAATGGCTGCAATTTGCAAATTTCATTAATTTTATATCCCACAAATAATATTCTTTTATTGTAACAAAAAGTAACAGAGGTAGTTGGAGCCGTGTTATAGGAGTTACTTTGTTCTTTACAAGTGATCATATAATGTGATTAGCCACACACAAACGTGTTACTTGTAAAGTATGGTCATAGTACTCTATCATATGATCAATCAGATAATAAATGGGAATACTATAAAAAGGTGTTTTAAAGCAATTTTAAAGGACTAGCCGTCTTATAGACTTACAAAGCCAATATTGTTCATAATACTGATGATGTGATTTTGTGAATTACTATGTATGAGCTACCAATGGAACAATTCATGAGAGGTTAATCTCTAATCTATCATCGATCAGTAATATAAGACGAGAATGAAGATGAATCATATTTTTATATGCAAATTTTGTGAGCAAAATGACAAAGTCTCATCATGTCTATTATAATTGCATTATTGTAAGTCTTATCTTGATCTACTCGACTTACAATAAAATTTGTATTCCAAAGAACATTAAAACGAACCTAGGAAGAATTGATTTTGCCTTAAAACAAATGATGACGCAAGTTGTCCCAAATATTCAAGGTCTGGAGCGCAAAATAGAATTACAATAAAATTATGATGACGTAAAAAAAGCAAATAAAGTGACATAAATTCTTTAATTTGATCTCCAATTATCAGGATAAGGAGATAAAGTTGTAGAGTGACCTAAGCAGCCAGGCAAACAGGAAAATGAATAAATTTAACACATAATTTATTGCTTTAAAAGGGTTATCAAATTAGCTTTCAAAAAGAGATTGACCATATATTTTTTTTAAAATGTGAATTTTCTTAAATAAATAAAAGAGACCCCACTTTAATGGAAAGCTTAGCTATTTACAGGGTATTTGATTTATTGCAAATTGCAAATGACATAATCCATGAAAAAGACCTAAGGATTAATAGTTTTTGTTTTGTTTATTAGGGTTTTTTTTTTTTTTTTTTTTAAAAAAAAGTATCTCAATTATCTTATCCTAAAGTGTAAATTAAGAGAGTAATAGAGGATAATTGGATATTGTGTACGTGATTGGTACAGTCAATCACGAAGAAACTTGGGGAAAAAGTCAAGATTAGTTTAAACCTTGAGTTATACGACAATACATTTTGTGTTTAAATATCTTTTAAGGCCTCCCTTAGACATTTAGTCATTTGCTATGGTTTTTGTGGCATGATGATGATGAATAATAAGAAATTGTACTTAATGCAATATTATTTATTTGCACTACCTAACTATATATAATATGTAGGCAATTGAATAACTTAAATAAATTACAAGTTGGTTGTTTAAGTTTAATGATGGAGATGATGTGGACATTAACAAATGATGATTGATATACATTGGATAGCCTTGTGGTTGTGATAGAGTCGTAGAGACTATTGTAGTTGTGGTTTTGTAGAGCACTACCACAAATAAACTAGCAAAAATGTATTTATTTTATTATATATAAGAAAAAGGTCACTCTTTGTATCAACATATAATGTAAGTCATGACTAGACTTCTAGACTTATGATTTGTCTAGTATATGTGCATGAATGAATATGTGGATGTGGAAATAATAAAAGTAATGATCTTAATTCTATAGTTTGAAATAAGAAATGTATGTACCACATCCTTTTATTCGATTTGGAGTGATCTATTTAGTATATACATCATCACCAAATTTTGTCATGATTTTTCACTCTTTTTACAAGAAAAAAAGTATAAGAAAAACAAATTTAGGTGGAGTTCAATAAGTTTAGGTAAGTCAATCAAGATCACGCAAGTGTCACTAAAGTCTCGTAGCTCGTATAGTTTAGATCTATTAATACATGACAAATGTAATTTAAGTGATGCATAAACAATGAAGTTTGCAACTTGAATATATTAAGAGCTTTTGAATTATTACGACAAAACTTGTCTAAACAAGGTCGTAATAAAAGTAGAAACTTATACAAAATATAATGAGAACATGTAACAAGTAATCCCTTATAATTGTAACAAATTTAATTATTTATCCACCGATGAATATGTTCAAAAATTATTATATGATGATATGTCTATAAAATTCGTTTTAAAATTTCGAAAATTGAGACGATCAAAACATGTATGTGTCTCATGAATTCATGATTATCATATCAATTTTTCT